GTGTGTGTGTGTGTGTGTGTGTGTGTGTGTGTGTGTTTAGATGGCACAGCTCCCACCACCTCATAATGGCATTTAGATTTAGAAAGGTGAGAGAGAGGTTGGCCGCCTGCTGCAGATGCTTGGTCATCTCCTGAGTCATGATGAGCCACATTTTCTGTCTTGATCTCCAACTGTTCCTCCTCCTCTTTCACACACTGAACAAACATCACACCTCCGCTTTATTGGACCTTTATCCTTCCTGATAAAATACTTTACCAACCATCTACAGTTTAATCCAGGAAAACATGAGGTCATGCAGTCATATCAGCGTCGTTATCCACTCCTGTCATCGTACTTTGATCCAGGCCGTTTAGTTCCAGTTGAGAAAGATCTTAATGCGAAACCAATGTGTGATGTCACAGTGTGTTGATGATGATCGAGATACGTTTTGAAAATATTTATTCTGACTTAAAACTGATTTATTTGAGTAAAATCTGTGACCACTGAACTGTGTCAATTCAAATTAATCAGGAGGAAAGACCCCGACTGAGCCCCAAGATGTCAGGGAGACACGCCCAGGTCTGACCAGCCTGTGGTGGAGCTGCCCTAGAGGACGGTGTCCTGTGATCAGAAGGACCAAACACCCGATGACACTTAACACAACTGATGATACGTCTCTAACATCCGCTGGCGGCCATTAATGTCTGCTGGTGGTTAACGTAACTTAACTCACAGATAAACATCCCCACATGTGACTGTGAAACTTTCTGTTTCCGACACTTGAATAACAGTCTGGTTAACATTCTGTACGTCAGATTGTAAACATCTATCGTTCATATTGCACAATCCTTCTTAGCGTTTATAACATTTTTACCTATTTTCATATTCACACGTGCACAAACACACCACAGCAGATTCCTTATATGTGTAAACCTACTTGGCGATAAACCTCGATTCTTAGTTGGAGTGGAAATCTTTCAAACATACGAGGGATACTCACCATCTTCTCGTTTCCTAATAATATTTATGTTGACGTGAGATGTTTATTTCGAGACATTATTCTTTCATCTCATGCTGCGACATGCAACCCATCACCAGGATCATCATTAGGGGCTGAGCACCTCTGAAGGTCTGATGCTCGAATCGCACCTGTCCTCAACTCCTCTGAGGAATAACACGTTATTTTACTCTCCACAGCTTCACGGACCTCACACATGCAGCTTAATCCCCCCCCCTCAGTTTATACACCGTACACACACACACACGCTTGCAGACACAACATATGTGGTCTCTCTCACAGGGACAGTGGCCCCGACAGCTTGGCCTGACAGTGAGAGGAGCCTGACCCGTCAGAGTGGATTTAACCCGACTGTCGCTGAAGCAAAACGGGACAGTTGAGGGGAGCAGACCAGTTGTGTGTGTATTTGTGTTTGTGTGTGTGTGTGTATGTGTATGTGTGTGTGTTATCTTGAGAAGGATTTGGTTGCGTCCTTCTTAGCACACCCACAAGGTCAGCAGCTTTAAGGCAACATAACCCTGTTTTTTCAGGTGAATTCAGTGTATTTTGCAGAACTTGTTTGTGTCCCGCTTGTGCACATATGGGTTCCTGGAACGAGGGCAAACTGACAGATGGGGGCAGGGAAGTTTTGTCTGGTCAATGTCATCACGGGCCAGTGAGCCCATATATTATCTGGGTCCTGAACTGGCGTTTTTCTGGGTTACACTGTACAGGCAGGAGGAAAACAAAGAACAAGCCGGGGAGAATTAAGCAGATCGTGCTGATGTAAAAAAGAAGAGGGTGGAGAAAGAAGAGTAGAAAGTGAGCGACAGATGGAGGAGAAGGTGATGGACAGAGTGAAAGAAATGATGTACCTGCATCATCAGGTGTGTTTGGGCTCCTGCTGGCAGCTTACCATGGCAACGACTGTTTAGATCCCTCTCACCTGGGCAGTGGACCCCAGGGACGGAGGATGATTAAAGGGAGGAGGTTGGGAAGGATGGAAAAAGAGAGAAGGTGAGAAGCTGTGGCGAGACAATCAGGGGATGGAGGGAGGGTGGTGATGGCTACAGACGATGCCACAGTTGGTGTGGCGCTTGAGCCAAATGCTGCCCTAGAGCGACAATGATGGGCCAAACTGGCTGCTGGTGGCTCTGTCGTCCAAAATGGATGATTTGTCTGAGTTGTATCTCAACTGTTCAGCATTAGATTCAACACAGACACACACACACACACACACACACACACACACACACACACACACACACACACAGACATACACACACAGACAGATTGCTGGGCTAGCTGCTTTTTAAAAACTACATTAGTCCGACACTGCTCCATCTGAGCAACCGTTTTTTATCACACAATAATGTTTAATTGCTCGGAATCCAACAGCCGTAATAATAAGTGGATGTCAGGTGATGTATATAGAGCGATAAAGTCTGTGTTAGGAAACAAACACAACTCATGCTGCTCTGCATCCACTGGATTCATAACTAAACTTAAGGGATGTTAACTGTATTGTTGAGTCTGTGAAATAGTTTTTTCTCACCTTCTGTAGCTGAAAGTGAATTAACACAACTTTAAATATTTTGTCACCCCTGTGTGTGTGAGTGTGTGTGTGTGTGTGTGTGTGTGTGTGTGTGTGTGTGTGTGTGTGTGTGTGTGTGTG